TTTCAGATGTCTTCCATTGCTAAAATGTTTGCAACTTTCTAAAATACTGCCATTAGCTGGGAAACAAGCATTTAAAACATTATCCTGCCTTGTGCATTTTATATTAAAAATGTACTAGTTATGAGTCTCAATGTCTGCTTCAATACCGTGCAGGGCAGAGTCTTTCAGAGGCCCTCTGTGGTAGGCTCCTGTCCTGTTTCCTGTTTTCTCCCTCCTCCAATGTCTACCCTCTTTGCCTTGCTGACTGGGTATTGAGCAACTTAGCCAGAGTCCTCCTTCCTGATTAACTTCTTTAGGTGTACAGATTTTAGTATGTTTATCCCATATAATATGTCTAATATCCACTTATGAGTGAGTATATACTGTGTGTGTCTTTCTGCTTCTGGGATACCTCACTCAGGATGTTCTTTTCCAGTTTCCACTATTTACCTGCAAATTTCATGATTTCCTTGCTTTTTATCGCCGCGTAGTATTCCATTGCGTAGATGTACCACAATTTCTATATCCATTCCTCAACTGAGGGACATCTGGGCTACTTCCAGCTTCTGGCTATTACAAATAAAGCTGCTACAAACATGGTTGAACAGATGTCTTTGTTGAATACTTGAGTGTATTTTGGATATATGCCTAGGAGTGGTATAGCTTGATCTTGAGGAAGTGCTATTCCTAATTGTCTGAGAAAGCGCCAGAAACTTTGGGTAGAGTGCAGGGAATCTTATGAAAGAAGTGGGAGATAGTAAGACCTGGAGAGGATAGAAGCTCCACAAGGACAGCAACAGATCCAAAAAGTCTGGGCACAGGGGTCTTTTCTGAGACAGATACTCCAGCCAAGGACCACTCATGGAGATTGCCTGAAGCCCCTGCAGAGGTAGCCCATGGCTGTTCAGTCTCCTAGTGGGCTCCATAGTAATGGGGACAAGGACTGTCTCTGACAGGAACTGATTGGCCTGCTCTTTGATCACCTTCCCCTGAGGGGGGAGCAGCTTTGCCTGGCCACAGAAAAAGACAATGCAGCCACTCCTAATGAGACCTAATAGCCCAGTATCAGAAGGAAGGGGAGGGGGACCTTCCTTATTAGTGGACTGGGAAAGGGACACAGGTTGGGGAGAGGGCAAGTGGCATTGGGAAGGGAGTAGGGAAGGAGGTACAGGAGGGATACAAAGTGAATAAATTGTAATTATTAAAGTTAAAAAATATATATACTAGTATGGAGAGCAAGGCTATCTTTGGTCAATTCTGAAATAAATTAAGTTCTGATGAAGCAGTAGTCAAGCTCAAGAGACTGCCATAGAATATGTACATTGTTTGGTAATATTATATTGCATTTTATCATGCAAAATTTTGATTGTTACATTTAACACACTTCATTATAATATGAGATTAAGAAGAAGCTTGATGTGTAAATAAAATGGTCACATGAAAGTCCAGTTCAAAAATCTGGGGCTGATGTGAATGTTGTCAGGAATGAAACTTGGAACTTTAGTGTGTCTACTTATTAATGTTACTCTCTTATCAGCATAAAAACTACGACTGTACCCTGATAGGATACCTAAGACTCTGACATAGCTGCTTATTCTAATACAAATGAGCATCAGAGCAGAGATGGTGTGTCTGGATAGGCCTTCCTCATGGTCATAACCACGGTTATGGAATTGATCATTTGGCTTCTTGTTCTAGTTCACCCACACAGGAGTGTACAATGAGGCCTGGACTTGAACTGTCTGAGAGATGGCAACTCCTCCATTTGCATTTTATAAGTCCAGTATGGGTCTAATATGAGAGTTTATTAAACTGGAATGCCCTAAGTCAAAGTTTTCTAGCTTTTTCGACCTTCCACAGATCATGAAAAAAGTTAGCACCATGTTCTCTCAGAAGCTGATGGGCTTGATTATTATTTCAAGGTATCTAATATGCAGAAGGTTTTTCCTTTGAAGTAGGAAGTCTAATGTTACTCAGGTGTGAAAGGGAAGAAAGAGCAGTGACTGCGTGAGGCAGGAACTGAGGACTCTTGAGAGCTCTGTAGAAGGAAAGGTGATATAGTGGCTCATTGCTGACTCAAGATAGTAGGTCAGATTTTATATGAAAAGAAGAGAATACAGAGATTAAGACATTTTTATCATAAGGAATTTAACTGCATTTTGGTGTCAGGGAATTAAAGCCTTAGTACCTGTATCTGCTGTGTCTTACTGGACCCTCCACCATGCATGGTTACAGAGGTTGTTCTTTGCCAAAACCGTCTTCCTCGGGAAGGACTAAGCTAGTAACTGTCTCCTAAAGGGAGTCATGTCTTTCCTACACAAAATTAAGAAAACCTTTCCATTTAAAATTTTTGATTTGTGTGAGTGTGTGGCATGAGTGTTTTGCCTGCATATATGTCTATGTACAATGTGCTGCTTACTTATTGCCAGTAGAGCCCAGAAGAGGCTGTCAGATCCCCTGAAACCAGAGTTTGTGTTCCAGTATATATGGTTGTGAGCTGTGGGTGCTGGTTATTGAGCTCCAGCCTGCTGGGAAAGCAGCCATTACTGTTAATGGCTGAGCCATCTCTCCAGCTCCAAGGAAATCCTTGATTCCCCAAACAGCACTGTATCCATGTGCCCTGAAGGTGCAGATTAAATTCAGAGTTGCAATTTCTTTATAGCATTTGCCTCATGAAATTGTTGTTAGGGGAGAAGGCATTTCAACAGTACAGGCATCTCATTCTAGGCTGTTAGAATCCCAACATTCTTTCTTGGCACTTGGTGCTGGGTGTGTTAGGATAGAGGATTATGCCACTCTATAATCTCATCTGGAAAACACAATAACTATAACGACTACAAAATCACCACACACACACAAACACACAAAAGCATGCACACACACACAACCAAATGAAACAACAACAAAATAATCAACAACATTATCAAGAGGTTCAGATAAAGCTATTTAGCACAGGCTGGGGCATTTTACTGTCAGTAAAATATACCTTCTTAAAAAAATATGAAAGAACTATATTTTGAAAAATGCATATTCATTGGCATTATTAATTCCAAAGATGGCTGTGGGACATGTCACTAGCAGAAGGAGAATAGAGGGAGAGAGGGCTTTGGCTGTAGAAATCTCTGCTTAGACTTCCATATTTTTTTAAATACAAATAACTATATTGTAAATACCTTGCAAAGAAAAATCATCAAAAAGTTAGATTAGCATAGCCGCTGAAACACTGGGAGCACACACAAGGCCTTCCCAGGTTCAAGCCAGACAAGGTCCCATCCCTGAAAGAGGGAAATGGGCATGGGCATATATTAAACAAGAAGCTATCTGCAATTAATACACTTGGCAAAAGAAAAACTATTTTTCTTTGATGGAGTACCATTGGTATATTAACCTGTGCCCAGGAGTAGTTGGTAAATATGAAATTAATGCAATGGTATTTTTTAGTAGTCATTTTTGTTTGTTTGCTTTGCTTTTATTTGGGGGGGGGGCTTATTGGTCTTTACTGGTTTATTTAGTATATTTCTTGTTTTTGTTTCTTTGTTTTTGTTATATTTGTTTATTTTAACTTTTTATTGGTTCTTTGCGAATTTCACATCATGTACCCCAAACCTTTTCATCGCCCCTCCCTCCCCTTGGTCCTACCCTTTGCCCTTGCAGCTTCCCCCCAACAGAGGAAGAAAAAAAATCTCATTGTGGAAGATGTGGTGTGTCACAGTATGTCCCACAGCTTTCCATTTTGTCAGCACTTCTTTGCTTGCAAACGTTCATTGCAATGACATGTTTATCTGGTTTGAGGCCTCTATCAGTCCTGCAATCTCACTGGGACTTCTCGCAGATATCCTGTTGTTGCCCTTTGTCGTAGAGATCCTGTACTTTTGGAACTGCGGGGCCTCTGACGAATTCCAGCTGTTCATCGATGGTATAGATGTTGGGGTGGGCCAATTCGAAGCCCTGGATCTGGTCCTGAGAGGCAGCTGAGCTGGTCAGCTCTCCGCTCTCCTGCTTTCATGTCCCTGTGGGCCCAGCAAAAACAGGACCGCTCTATCCTGTTGCCCAGGGCGAAGTGCAGGGATGGCTTTTCCGAGTGTTACAGCTGGGAAGGGACCAGGCCCGATCTTGTATTCTCATGATCTCAGAACCAGCTCTCCTGCCTAGATATCAAGCAATATGAGGGAAGCCGGAGCAGGCAGGAAGGCACCTCTCCCTCACTGGCACGACTGCCCAGCAGACAAGAGACAGGGACAGCTCTCTCACACCCACAACTTTGGGGGGGATAATCTCACCTGAAGCCCCCACATCCAGGGCCAGCTCTGCTGTGCTGTCCAGGGGAAGTGCAGGGCCTGCTCTCCCAAGTGCTGCAGCAGGTAAGGGGCAGGACCAGCTCTCCTGCTCTCATGACCCCCAGGCCTTGTCTTCTGCCTGCTGCAGGCAGTGAGAGGTGGTGGTGGAGGAGGGTATCTCTCCCATGTCCATGTTAACACACAGGGGATGGCTAGGGGCGGGGTCAGCTGTCTTGCTCTCATGCCTCTAGACCCAGCGCTCCCACTGTGCTCAGGTGGAGGGGTGAAGCCAGTTTTGGACAGGAATCAGACATCAACATGTCCCCACGCAGCAGCCCAGATCAGGCTATCAGCCTGGACTTTGGTGGTAACAGACCCTTGCTACTGCAGGGCCATTGACCCAGATATGGCTTCCCTTGACAGCACAGGCCAGGACCCTCTCCCCGTCCTAGAGTTGCATCAGTGGCTACTCACATCAAGCTGCTTCTCACTACCCTTGGGTTTCCTTTTCTGCCTCTCTTCGTTTTGTTTTTCTTTCTGTTTCGTTTCTACCATACTTGCTTCTATTATTGGTGCCCTGGGTCTCTGAGTGTCTGGGATGGTCTCAGGAGTGGTCTCAGAAGGGCGCTGCTCTGCTCATGTGTCATAACACCACCAGGCAGGCATCATCTTTGGCATGATCTACCCCCAGATCTCTGTGCAGCACTGGACTGGCGGTCATGTCAGACTGGCCTTCTTTCAGGGAGTGTTAGGCTGCTGCTAACCAATCTGATGTTCATACGTGAGAACACTGAGCATAGACATAGTCTTTTTCTTCTTTGCTATCTACCGAAGCACATGTGACACAGCAACCACTCCTGCTATGCTCTAGGGGCAGTTAGCTAGCTAGTTTTTAAACGAACAAAATATAAAGTTGGGTGAGTAGGAAGAATCTGGAAGAAATTAGGAGAGGGAAAAAACATGATCAAATTGTATTTTACCAAAAACCAAAACAAAACAAAACATTTTCAGTTAAAAAGAGAAGGAATGCACCACATATCACTATGTACAAAGTAAACGTGGTTTAACCACTGTGATGAAGTCCATGCTATAACCAGGTACCTCAGAACAGATTATTACTGTGGCTGGTAAAAAGTCCATTAATTTTTTGTACAATTTAAATGTAAAATATATTATTAAAAATTTTACAACCAAAAGAAAAAAAAATGTATAGGCACTCTAATAAGCACTTTTCTGATCCAATACTGTGCATTGCAATGACCTTCTACACAGGTAAAAGAGCCATTCAGCAGCTGTGGAGCTTCTGCTCTTTCAGCCTCAATTACATATTTATTCTCTTATCTATCACAAATTGTCTCCTAATAAAAAGTATTTGTGACCTAGTAAAAACTAGAAATTTCATTAACTTTATATCTTTTTTCATGACTCAACGTGTCTAGCATCTACAGTCCATTCTTCCTCATCACCTATATCACTCTTGTTCTTCCAACATGTCATGCTTTCCCTGTACTTACAGATATCTACACAGATACATTTATTCTAGGTGAGAATCTATACATGTTCTTTGTTTTATAGACTTCACACTTTTTTGAAATAATTTTATTCATGGTTAGTTGATCTTTTATTCAATTATTTTCATTGCTTATATTCACTGTATGTGGTGTCATGTTACATAAGAACATTTTCATGCACGTTCATAATGATGCTGAGCATCTTCCCCCATATCCACTGTTCTCCTTTTAATCTCCTCCCCTTCCACTGATCATTTTCCACTAGACAATTATTACACCTACCTTTCTGTCGCATATACCTATATGATCTTATGTAGGATAGGAAACATGCAATATTTGTCTTTGAGACTGACTAAATTCATGTAGTCATTCTATTATTATCATTATTCCCAACCCTGCATGCTGTACCCTTTCTGTGCTATACATGTGTTGAGCACTTCTTCCAGATTTCCTGGAAGGTTGCTTTCAAACATTTAAGTATTTTCCAGTATTGAAAGAACTCTGTTTTTCTGGCTGAAAATATTTCATCCTACCCTCATACCACTTCTTTCATTACCATTTCTGTGTGTAGTCACAACTAGGTTGCAATCAGACTCAGCTATTGAGAACAGTGTTGCAGGAACACTTGTGTGCAAGCGCCTCTGTGATGTGTTGAAGTACCCTTCAAGGAAATATCTGGGAGTGTTATACCTGTGGTAGAATTTTTTCCAGGAATTCAGACACTGACTTCCATAATTGCTGGTCAAGTTTACACTCTAGCAAATGCTGGTGTGTCTACCTAGTCCACAAAATGATAAATATTTGTTGCTCTTATTTTCTCTTAATCATGGCCATTCTAACCAGGTAAAATGAATTCTCAACATAGTTTAATAGTATGGCATATAATATGCAATACAACATGAAGATACTATGTCCTTGCCAATATACTGAGGTTTTGCACAGCTGCTTATTTGAACAGTAAAATAATTATTAGGTAAGATGGCCACTTTTACTATGTTAATCCTACTGATCCATGAACACAGAAGATATTCCCATCTTCTGGTATCTTTTTCAATTTCTCTCTTCAAAGACAAAATTCTTGTCATACAGGCCTTTCACTTGCTTGGTCAGTGTTTCACCATGACATTTTATATTATTTATGCCTATTGTGAAGGGTATTGTTTCCCTAATTTATTTCTCAACTTGTTTGCCATTTCTATGCAAGGCTACTGATTTTTTTTGAGTTAATTTTGTATCCAGCCATTTTGCTGAAAGTGTTTATTGGCTGTAGGAGCTCTGTGGTAGAATTTTGTGAGTCACATATACTATCATATCATCTGCAAATAAAGAAACTTTGCTTCTTCCTTTCCAATTTGTATCCCCTTGATCTCCTTTAGTTGTCTTATTGCTCTAGCTAGAACTTCAAAGACTATACTGAAGAGATAGGGAGAGAGTGGGCAGCCTTGTCTTATCCCTGATTTTAGTGGAACTGCTTTAAGTTTCTTTCCATTTAATTTTATATTGGCTATTGGCATGCTCAATATTGCCTTTCTTGTGTTCAGGTATATGTCTTGTGTTTCTGATCTCGCCAAAACTTTTAACATGAATGGGTGTTGTCATAGGCTTTATCAGCATCTAAGGAGATAATCATGTGCTTTTTCATTTCAGTTTGTTTATATGGTGGTTTACATTGGTAGATTTTCATATGTTGAACCATCTCTGCATCCCTAGATGAAGCCTACATGATCATGGTGGATGATGTTTTTGATGTGTTCTTGGATTTGTTTTATGAGTATTTTATTAAGTATTTTTTGTATCAATGTTCATAAGGAAGATTGGTCTGAAATTTTCTTAGTTCGGTCTTTGTGTGGTTTAGGTATCAGGGTGATTGTGGACTCAGAGAATGGCAATGTTTCTGTTTTGTGGAATAGTTTGAGGAGTATTGATATTTGCTCTTCTTTGAAAGTCTAGTACAATTCTGCACTGAAACCATCAGATCTGTCTGCTTGCAGACAGGAGCCTAGCATAGTGCCTTTTGAGAGGCTACATTGAGCAGGTGATGAAAGCAGATGTAGAGACCCATAGCCAAACAATAGGCCAAACTCAGGGAGCCTGGTAGAAGAGTGGGAGAATTGAGGGATTGGGAGAAGTCAAGGACACCACAAGAAGACCTTTGGATTAAATTAAGCTAGGTCCATGGAGGCTCACAAAGACTGAACCACCAACTGAAGAGCATGCATGGGCTGGACCTAGAACCCTTACATATTAGTAGCAGATGTGCAGCTTGGTCATCATGTGGGTCCCTAACAACAGGAGTAGGGGCTGTCTCTGACTTTGTTGCCTGCTTTTGGATACCTTTCCAGTATCCTGGTGGGGCTGCCTTGGCAGGCCTCATTGGGAGAGGATGTGCTTATTCCTGCTGTGACTTGAGGTGCCAGGGTGTGTTGGTACTCCTTAGGGGCCTCCCCTTCTCTGAGAAGGAGAGGGAAAAATAGGAGAAGAGGGACCTGAGGACAAGACTGGGAGGAGAGGAAGGAGGAACCTGGGATCAGGCTGTAAAGTGATTAAATAAATAAAATTTAAAAAATTATTAGGAGGCACTAATGTTTCCAGAATGCTAATTAATTGATTGGAGAATATTGTATGAAGAGAAGAATACTTGTTTCTATTCTACTTTTCATGTTTAGTGTTTTTTAACTGGGTAAAGGAAAATATGGGTTGAGAGTCATACTGCTTTATCTTATTATCATAACTACTTGAATATTGCTTCAAACATGTGGAATTGTTTTGTGAAAAATTTTACAAATGATTTTGTAGGAGTATTATCAACATCTAATATTTCAGATTTTGAATCACCATTTTACAAAAATCTCAAGCTCTTTATATGTGACTATGAAAGTGATTTAGCATACATCTGTATATCAGAAATTTTGCCTCTTACTTTATTTTGTATAAAACAACATTTTGAGGCAGTTAATAATGAAATAGATGACAGCTTTTATTGCTATTTTTTTCTTTTTAGAACTCAAATGTCACACCATATTACTTTGCAATTTCACATAGAACCATCTGCCAAGTTAGGTAGTTTCACCCCATTTTGTTTCACATATGTGTCCTACTTTGAATGCATCACCATTTTTTTTTTTTTGGTTTTGTTTGCTAGTGACATGAAATTCAAAGAGCAAATGTGTGAAAGCCCCACATTTTGGTGTAAAGGCATGAGAGAAAATACACTTCCCTGTGGTACTTCACAACCAGAGTTCAGGAAGCTCCTTCAGTTATATCTTTCCTTCTCAACAACACAACCTTATTATCTCTGCTTTGTTTAATGGTGATGAGCTGATACCTCCAAACAAAATTCTTAAAATTTTTCTTTAACATTAAATTAAACAGATGTCTTCAACCTCTGATGATAGTTCAGGTCCACAGAGATGTCCTTAGTCAATAAATGGGATAAAGATTCATATCTTTGGAATGTATCAATGTTGAAACAATGGGTCTGCAGAGACCTTATGGGGGAATTTCCATCTCACAGAAGATATGTTCGCAAATACATTGTATGGAAAACCAAACAAGGCATCAGAAATTATTAGCAGCCACTGGAGGCTTGGAGACGGAAGAGACAGAATCTCTCTGAGAGTCTCAAGAGGTATCATGGCTAGTGAAACTGACAGTGACCCTCTTACCCTCAAGCTTATAAAAATGCTTTATTTTAACTTTGTTTTATGAACTTTTATATTATCTCAGGTATTCTGTACAAGTATTTTTGCCTTGAGGAATATTGCCTTTTCTTTAATTTCTTTAAAGAAAATAAGAGAAGAGTCATTATGTAAAGGCTTGCCTACCAGGTCCCTGCTTATGTATTGCTTACATTATCCCATTAGTCACTGGCTGGAACACTAATGAATTCCCAAAGTCATAAAAATATATAAAACACTGAGACTCCTGGTATTTTAAAAAACAGTATTTTCTTTTTTTGTAAGTTTGATTGGTTTCTTTCATGGGGACTTTGAAGGTGATATTATGCCCAGAGTTTAACAAGCTGATCACTCTTGCCTCCCTTTAATTTAAAAGAGGTTATTTTCTCATGCCATATATCCTGATTACATCTCTTATTCTCTCTATTTCTCCTAGTTCCTCTTCACTTACCCTCCCATCTGGATCCATTCACTATCTGTCTCTCATTAAGAAGAATTGGTTTTAAGAGACAACAACAAAACATAATAAACAAAATATAATAAGATAAGACAAAACCCAACACATTGAAGTTGGACAAGACAAACCAACACAATGAAAAGATATGAATAGAAGGTATAAGAATCAGAAAATCACTTGTTCACACCCTCAGGAGACCCATAAAAATACTAAACAGAAAGTTGCAATACGTT